TCTAAGCAATGCAAAACATAGCAATGCTTATTTCAACCAGTCTCTCTTTTCAGTGAATTGAGAGTATTATAGATGGATGAAGAGACAAGACCTGAAGATCGTGTATCAGAGTGTCTAGAGATTTTATCTTCCTGTGAGGCCACCGGGGAATCCCAAACTCTCTGCATTTCTTTTTCAAGACAGTGAGACCGATATTAAGTCTTTGAGAAGCTTCCACGATAGGAACACCAAAGTATTTGGAAAGATCTTCTAAGGAAAGTCCGGCAACATGTTCTGATTGTGCTCTCTTCTTCTTCATTATCTCTGTCTTAGCATCTGTGTTTTCACAATAACTCGACATTAATCAACAGATGCGTAAAACTAGTCTAGAGTTATAACTCAAAAAATCACCAAATGCGTAAAACAAGCCAAAGGTTTATAAATTGAAATTTGATACCTGATTCCGAATGTTCAGTTTGGTCGTTTTCAGATTCCTCGGCTTCGGTTTCTGAATCAGGAAGGCAGTTAAGGTCTTGTTTGAGGACGATCTTACGCGGTTTAGGCTGATCAACCTCAAATTCTCGGGCTCTATCTACTTTGGAGATGAGATTTAGCGGTTTAGGCTGATCAAACTTACTATGTCGGATTCTACTGCATTTTTCCTGGTCAGAAACTTTTGACACTTTCTTCCGTTTTAACTCAGCGATAAACTTGAGATCATTTGCTAAATTAGGGATGTCCTCCAGCTTAGCGTTTCTGTCAATAAGAAGAACAAAAAAACTATGTTTGGTTTTTTCAAAAATACACACAAGCAAAAATCACTAAAAGGGTGTTACTTTTACAAGCCTAAACACACTTTGAAATCTTAGCAAAACAAGTAAATCGAGAGATCAAACTGATTATAAACAAAGAAGTGCACTAACTATGATCACCGCGATATATTACAAAGACCTGTGGAATGTAATTTAAGGTGAAGTAAGTATGTAGATTGTTAAAACCAAAGTATGTAGATTTTGTTGGATGTTACCTGTGGCACTATCAGTACTAAGGAGAACAGGTAACACATTAGAAGAGATAACTAAAATGCAAAAAAAAAAGAA